CCAGCCCTGATTATATTGTAATTGCACAGCTTTTTTGGCACTTTCATAAAACCTGTGCAACCGACATCGACACTCGTTAAAAGTTACTGAATAGAAATTTGTCAAATTTGTTGTTTCTAGTTATAGCTATTACGTGCGTATTATTACCTATTTTTGTAATGCAAGATCGTTGCAAGATTCGAAACGCAAGGTACAAATTTTTTTTTATTTTCGTTCGATGCACTTCCTTGCATTCCTGTAGTCAAGGTACATGCTATTTTCAATTTTTTTAAAGAAAGCAAGCAGAAGAAAAGGGATAAAATATAAAAATGTAAAAGAAACAAGTTTATATTGTCTTTTATTTTAAGACTTGAGAATGCAAATGACAGCTGAGGAAAATATATATTATTAGAATATATTAGCTTATTCTAATATTTTTATTTATATCATTATTAATCTTATTAATAATTTTGTTATTATTATTAATCCTAATATTATATTACACGTTTTATATAAATTTATTATTATATTAAAAATTTATTTTTATCTCAGCTTTATAAATATATTTTTATCATTGAGCCATTCTATCACATATTTTATGTAATTCTATCTACAAACTATTCGTATGCAAATCACTTTGCAGATTATAAGAGGTTTTAACAAAATATGTTCTCTTATGATGCTTTCCAGCAAGAAACATAGTGATCATTTCATCTCTTTTTAATATTGACAAATAACAAGAATATAATAATTCACTATGCTATACTGTCATCTATTTCTCTTACTGCAAAGCAATCATAATCTTGCTCTAGTAAGATCATATGCTTATGTAACAAGATACATTATGTATTTTGATGTAGAACTGCAACTTTCATTTCAGGTATGACGTAAGATAAAGAGACGGAATAACTAATAAGAAGATTATTGAAAGTGAATTGTAAAAACTATAACTATTGTGCATACAAAATAAAAGTGATTTACAGTTACGTGGTTATTTTAAATTAGTTTATTTACACAAAGATGGAAAAGAAAGAAAAAAATTTTTCTTCAAAGCAATCACAGATATTGCAAGACAAGTATACTGATCTGTCATCTAACATACCAATATTGTTCGAAAAGCATTTTGTTATCTCAAATGTGCAACAAGATACACAAACATATGTATTACCTGAGGCGGGATCTATGTTTACAGAACCAGCATGGCAACTGAACAAATTGCAAGAGATAAAAAGAGATCTGAATGAGGTAAAGGGTCGCCTGAACAATTTCAATCTCAGTAAATGGCAGCAGCACACAAATCGGAAGAATGAAGCAGGCGAAATTGTATCCATGGTAAGAGAAAATATACAGGCAGAACTTGTGACTCAAGCCTGGTGCAAATTCTATGAAGTTGCTAGCAATTTTTCTCTGGTGCCGTTAAATGAAATTTACCATGAAGTGGACGGTAAAAACTTCAAGTCGGTTCATCTTTGTGAAGCGCCAGGTGCATTTGTGACTGCTCTGAACCACTGGCTGAAGACGAATGCACCTGATGTTCAGTGGAATTGGCTAGCCACCACTTTGAATCCTTACTGTGAAGGAAATTCTTACGATGGTATGGTCGCAGACGATAGATTTATTAGACACACTCTGAAACATTGGTGCTTTGGCGCTGACAACACGGGCGATATTATGGATCTGAAAAACTTGGACACTCTGGTGAAGAAATCCGAATCCCTGGATGGCAAAGGACGGATTCTGCTGGTTACCGCGGATGGCAGTATAGACTGTACGAACATGCCTGGAGAGCAGGAGAGCACAGTGGCACAGTTGCACTTGTGCGAAACAGTGGCCTGCTTGCATCTCCTGCAAAAAGGCGGTAACTTCTTGCTGAAGCTCTTCACTCTGTTTGAGCATCAGTCCGTGTGCCTGATGTATCTATTGTCTTGCGCCTTCCAACAGGTCAGCGTAACGAAACCAGCAAGCAGCAAAGGAGGAAACTCGGAAATGTATGTTGTTTGCATGAATTTCAAGGGCAAAGATTACATAGCACCATATTTATGTACACTGAAATATTATTATGGCAATGTGCCACCTGTGAATGCGATGTTTAACCTGCGGGATATTCCGGATGGTTTTTTATGGAGGATTGAACAATGCTGCAAATTTTTCAAGTTCCATCAGTGCAGGATCATAGAGGATAATATAAAAACGTTTCACAAGAGAGATAATTTTTATAAGCGTCTTTCTACATCAGTTATCAAACGAATGATCGGTATCAAATATCTCAAAGACTACAGATTAAGAAAAATAGATCCTGCAAACGAAATAGTCGGTCGGGAGATAATTGAAAAAAACAACAATCAATTTATGAATAAAAAATTGCACGTTGATTCGTACAATGAGCGTTGCAAGAGCCAAGACTTAGAGCCGCAAGAGCGTTTGTTGCAAGCATGGAATAACGCGAAAGAGATTGAATGGCCGTCAGAAAAATTTTACGTTGTAAGCAAATTTTTCAATTATGTTTCTAGAATGTCTTTATAAGTTATAAAAAGCACATATATCATGTAGTTTTTACAATTTAAGAAATTTTCGATTTTCGTAAAATTTTATCGCATTCGAGATTGGCAAATTAAAATTAAAAAAAAATATATATTTTAATTTATAGTAATGCTTTACGAAGTAATTTATTCATAGAAGCTTGTATATTACTGCAATTACAAAAGAATTTTTTTACTGTATATACATACATCTTGAATATACAGCATCATTTACAACATGGTTATTTTACATTTGTAGTGGCATCTACAGGCATTACCAGAAACTTTAAACATACAAACGGGAAAGTTGTTTAACAAAATATGCAGTTCACGTTTTTGCGACTCGAAAATTATGCAAATATTGGACAAAATTGATAACGTAATGCAAGATATGCACATCACCGTCTGCTTTCCACCAGCAGAAATTACAACAGAATTTGTACAACAAATCGATCCAAGCTATGAG